AATTCCGATCCTGTCTGACAGGCATCAAGTTCCTTTCAGATGAAGTCCTCTACTCTAACATTGTCTGGATGTTACAGAAACCACCCATTCATTCGAGGACTTAAAGGAGCACTGTGTAGGATTCATAGAATTTAGTGGCATCTAACAGCGAGTCTGACTGCAGTTTGCAACCAGCTGAAACTTCTCCTGGTTAGAATTCCTTTAGTGTTCACTGTTTAAAACCAGCTACAAAACAGTGTTAAGGCCCATTTATGCTCCCTTTACGTACAAAAATGTATACGTCCATTTCAAACGATGTTACCGTCACTGCCCACATACTTCCATGCGTCCTTTACGTTGGCATGGATGTTAACCAATATATCCACCAGGAGGCAGCCCAGAGTCAAAAGTTTATGACAACAACAAACTCAAAAACAAACATGGCGACTGTGGAGGAGATATTGATAATGTACCTCTTGTACCTCGGGGAGACCTGAGCCTTGGGGGTAGGTGCGGGGCCGGGAGGGCGGGCTCCACGGAGAGGGAAGCCTCCGTGTTTGAGATGGGAGCGGGCGGTGGGAGGTCGGACGCTCCCAGCAACGGGAGAGGGAGAAATATAACAACATAAGATAAAATAGGAAAAACCTGTCTCCCTCTTTTATTTTATTTTATCTTCAGCATTTCAGGCGAAAAAGTTCCGCCATTGTTATTTCTTCTTCATGTCTCACTAGAGCTACGTATTGGGTAGTGACAGCAACACTGCCCCCACGGTTCCCACTGGTACTGCTCCGTTTGGCCCGTATCTGTAAGCTTTATGGAAACATGCAGAAATACGGACGAAATGAACGCGGAGCACGGACAGAAGGCTCCGTCCGTATCCGGATCTGTATTTAACGTTGAGCATAAATGGGCCTTTACTCTGACACTGTTCAGCTAGCTGTAGACAGATTGCCAGCCAGCATCTGCTAATGTATGCTCACTAGGGGTGTGTTATATCATCTCATTCATGATAATTCAGGTGAAATTTTTAAATCATATGAAAAGTTCATATCGTGATACTTGCGATATTTGGACTTGTTGATGTCATATTAACGTCATTCTGTTACCCACGGAAACAACAACATGGCTGAAAGTGAAATTATTAGCGACTCCGTGGCTGTTTTAGTGAGTTACTGTGAGTTACCCACCCTGCAGAGGGAACTCATTCAACAGATCTGCCGCAGCAGCACAGCGTCTCTCCCTCTCCTTTCTTGCTGTGCACACACAGGAGTCGTCAAGTGATTTTGTCATAAAGCTTTGGTAATGTAAACCTATGTGCTGCTCGTTGTGCAGTAGTTATTGTAGCATAACTGTTCATTTAACTATATATATAGATCCCACGGTATGAGTTGTATTTGAGAGCTGTTTAAATGTGTAATTGGAGGTAGATTTAATTGGTTGAACTATTAATATTATATACAGAATCTGAATCACGCTCTGAGTTAATGTTGTTTTTCACAAACCAAAGAAACAAGAGGTCATTTTTGTGGAGTGTTTACTGAATATTTGAAGGCAAACTGTTAAGTTGACATGTAAAACTATATCAATTATTTGTTGCAATTTTATTTTCTTAAACTACTTATTAAATATATTTATTTTCTAATTTGTCATATCGTCAAGAATATGGTTATCACATACACTCCAGACAATGAATAGCCTTTGCACACTCAATAAAGAAAAAGCAGCGCCTTCTGCGAACAGTTAAATAGCATAGGGTTATCATCGACATGAGTCAATACAGTATTGATCAGTAGCACTGTCATATTATCACAATGCAGCATTATAGGGGGAAAAAAAAGGTACACATGGTGGATGGCAAAGGACCATTTTCACTGACATGAGTAAGTGCAGCAAACTGTCACAGCAAACATTGCAATGTAAGATAACAGGAATGTCTGTAGTAATATCCTACACATTTGTAAATTTGGGTGTATTTTATGCACCTTGAAATACAAGATCATTGTCTACCGGCAGTCCCCGAGATCTCTGTGCCACTTTGCATTCTTTGACTCTAAGCAGTGGCCGAAAGCCCTGGGACAGCAACTACCTAAGCCAATCAACGTCTGTGATGTCATCAAAGACAGGCCTGCTGCCAATACCCTGCTGAACAAAACGGCTGTGCAAAGAGGCAAAAATAACAAGATGAGACCCAACCTGAAAGTTTTACTTTAGTTTACACTAGTCTGCTACTACAGACATTAACATTTGATTTTTAGATAAACTACTTAAGTATTTTGCCACCATGGACCTAAGCTCACATTAGCTTGCAAAGATGAGCTAACAGTTAGCCAGCTAGGGTGCTAGCTGCTTAGTATTAACTCCTTGATCATATCAGAATATTCTAACTTTAACTTTAATTCCTGCTCATTTTAGAAAGGCCACTACAAGGAAATGTGTTTTTGTTTGTATTGTCAAAGAGGCAGTGAGTCATACTGTAGATAGGGATGTCCCGATCCAGCTTTTTCACTTCCAATCCGATACCGATATTACAGCCTTGAGTTTTGGCCAATACTGACACCAATACCAATCCGATCCAAGCGCGTATTATACATATTCACTTATTTTGTTGTCAGTCATGTTAGAAAAGGTTTGATCAAGCGATATTACTCTAACAAGAACAACTTAATCGGGTTAGTTGGTATGATCCACAACAGTTGGTATGAGAAACTGACCTGTTTATTGTTAACAGGGTTAAATAAACAAACTTTAAACTTGAACATTAACATTAAATAAAAAATATAGCTGGTTTGCTTTGGCTGCTTTGGCCCCTTAATAAATAGAAAATAAATCAACACAAGAAATCTTTAAAATGTCTAACATTGAAATTAAAATAGCAGCAAGACCCCACACACTTGTGCTTTGGCCCCCTAATAAATAAAAAATAGATTAACACCACAAGACATTGTTGACACTTAACAAACAATGCAGCCTTTCCTTTTCAGTTATTTTTGTGGTGTCAGCACCAGCCTGGTGCTGCTGTTTCCTGTGTGTCTGCATGCTGGCCTGGTGGATTGATAGTAAGTGCTGGAGCGGATCACTGGAATGGACTGCTTGAATCGCGGAGCGCTGGGCTGGCCAGAAAACCTGGATCGGAGTTCTTGGATCAGCACTTTTCCATGCAGTCCGATCCGATGACGATGCACGTTTTTTGCTAATATCGGCGGCCGATACCAATCCGAATATCGGATCGGGACATCCCTAGTCATAGATGTTTGTTTCTGGCTGCTAGTGGGCTAGCTATAGCGAGCTAGCATTGCCATGCTAAAATTTGCATGCTAGCGTTAGCGCGCCAGCCCACCAACTGTATCCTTAATTTTTTTTTTTTTCCAGGATTGTGCCCAGTGACAAAAAGTATTGCATAATGAAAGTGAGACTTATGGGGAACCAATCTAGAGTGCATGATAAACCAAGAACGTTTAACCTTTTAATGTGGTGGCCTTTTTAAATGAGCAGTAGGGGAAGTTATTAACTTCAATGATTAAGCAATTGATTGGTAGAAAGCACTAACTAGCTAGCTGGCATGATAGCTAGCTACCTCTGTTAAATGATGTTCTCTTTATACCATCAAATCAATGTTGACCTCAAGTCATCATTGCTTCATTCTCTGTATGATGTTGTCTGTATACCATCAAATCGATGTTGACCCTTAAGTCATCATTGCTTTATATGTTATATGATGTTGTCTTCAGACCATCATATGGATGTTGACCTTAAGTCATGATTGCTTTATCCTTTAGCAATTGATAAGCAGAAAGCAATAAGCTAGTTAGCATGCTAGGTAGTTAAAAAGTTGTTGACTTCCACTATACTGGTAATGTAATAATTTTCATATTTGAAAAGCATTAGCAAAATATCGAGGGACACTCAAGGCAAGTTTTTGTGCAAAATAAGAAAAAGCATGTTGGCCAATTCTGATAGTTCATTTTACAGCTGATGTGCTAATCTTATCGTGCATCCCTAATATAAACGATTATTATAAGATAATGAAACACAATGATTCTTTTTTTTCAGGTGATTATATCACCTGAAAAAAAAGAATCATTGTGTTTCAGGTGATTATATCACTAAAGAAAACATACTTATTATATAATATTCCATTTCTGCCAATTTATCCTCTATCAATCTTACACACTGGACCTTTAAAAAATGGTCTTGGACATTACACTGACCATGAAGTGCCTGCGTCAGACCTCATGAATCCCACCAGACAGCTGTCCGTGTAGCAACGCACCAGACAGCTGTCAGGTCATGCATCTTCACATCTTGTCTGGATTTGTAAACTGCTCCTTGGCAGTTTTTGTAAGTGATGTTTTGAGCAGCTGCTTAAAAGATTCACATATAGATCTAAGATGATGTTAGCATTCATGTTGGTCTATGTAGCTGCCTTGTTATAATGATTTAGTGATCAAAGTTTATTCGGGTTGTTCACAGTGTGTTTGTGATCATTTGTCCACCCGTGTGCATGCTGAGGACTTTTTTTCATCACCTTTCTGCTGATTCACAGTCAACCCAGCACCGAGACCAGATCTGTGTACATGTCGATGCTAATAACAACCGAGATTGCAAGAACTGAATCTCTCCAGGGTGTGTTTGTGTGTGTGTGTGTTTGTGTGAGAGCAGCTGCTTTCAAGAAAACATAAGAATGCTAGAACTGCTGGCAGCTTGCCAGCACTGTTGACCTTGGACAGGAAGAGAGGAGGAAAATGAAGACACACACCCACACACACAGATGTCCCCGTCACCAATACACAACATGAGTGACCTGCAACAAATGTCCCTGATGAAGAAGAGGAGGATGATGACGAAAATGCTGAAGTCAGGTGGAGCCAGCCAAACACACACAGTCACACATATAGACATTCACACTCATGCATAATCCAAGCACTCTCACACAAACACACACAGATACAATGACACACACTTGACCTGCACACAAACACCTATCCACCCACACACACACACATTCCCCAGCAGCCACAGACCTTCATGAATAAGAAGAGCAGCAGGATGAGGAAGACACTGACATCAGGGTGCAGCCAGGCAGCAGAGAGGCCCAAACCAACCGGAGGAGGAGATCCTGAAATCTTTGTCCACGTAAAGTTGTCAAACAGGGAGTTGATACACTCTCTCGGCATCAGCTAGAGAGGGGAGGACAGGGGAGGAAAGGAAGAAAAAGCAATGGAAGGGAGGGATGAGGGCAGGGAGCATGCAGGGGAAGAGCAAGAGGTGGAGGAGAGAGTGGGAGAAATTGAAGAGAGGAGGACGGAGAGGACAAAATGGAGGGGGGGGGGTAAGAGAAGTATCAAGGAGAAGAAAGAGGGGAAGAAAAAGAAAGGTTAAGTGGGAGAAGTGGTGGAGGTAAAGAGGGGATTAAAAGAGAAAGAGGGAGGGAGTGCAGAGGAGAAAGATGGGGATAAGTCAAGGAAACTGGCAACAACTAGAAGTAGTGCTTCGCTGTTGTATACCTCTTCATATAATTCTATACCTTTATCCAGACCTTTGACCTTCAACCACCAAATTCTAATCAGTTCATTCTTGAGTGGACATTTGTGCCAAAGTTGAGGAAACGCCCTCAAGGCCTTCATGAGATATTGTGTTCACAAGAGTGAGCTGGATGCAAGGTAGCAATGGGGAGACACAGGGATGAAAGCAAGACAGTGAAAGAGGAGCAGGAAGGAGAGAAAGAGTTTTAGTGGAAGGAGGAGAAGAGAGAAAAGGGAGGGGTGTGACAGGAAGTGTAGGGTAATGAAGAAAAGGGAGGATAGAAGGAGCGAAGGGATGACAGCAAAAGAAAGAGAAGATAATGGGTGGAAAGGGAGATGAAATTAAATGAAAGGGAGGAATAGAGTTACAGAGAATAAAAAAGAGGAAGAAAGCGAAAAAGGAAAGAGTAAAGACAGAAAAAAGTGAAAGGGGGAGAAGAAAGTCAAGTGGGACAAACAGGCAGGAAGTCATCCAGAAAGCTGGAAGCAGACAGGTACGGGTGGCCGTGTCCAATGACTCATTCTCTTTAGATGACTCATGAATGACTAATTCACTTCAACCATTTTGCACCGCATTTGCATAGATGCCTCTGAATCTGCTCACAGGCACAAATTGCAGCACATACCGCATCTGCATAACGCTGCTGCTGGGGAAAAACAACACCTCCATCATCTCAATTTTTTACTACTTTTGTACTTCCTGTTGGAGCTAGGGTTGAACTGAGGCCCCTGAAATTTGTCGTTGGGTGTGCGAGTGGAAATGCTGAGGATCTGTGAAAGGCTGCTGCTGGCCTCGACGGAGCTGGATGTAATAATAGGCTTTCCTGTGCCTTTTTGAAGTTGTGGGTTCACGTCTGGTTCACAACCCATGTAGCTTTTAATCTCCTCTCTCTGCGCTGCTGCTTCTGTCACTCTGCGCTGCGCTATCAAGTTGGATTGGAAGGATTTCATTCCCCAAAAGCTATATATACACTTTCTGGGGGGGGGGGGTGAAAGTCAAATACAAATTCATTTTCTAAAGTGAAATCATTAAAATTCACTTCATTCCCCTGCAGTGTTAAAATGATGCTGTGTGAGTTTGTTCTAAAGGTGTGAGACATTTCTACAATGAGGGTGTGAAAGACATGCACTGAGGGCATGGAAAAAAAAACATGTTAAAGTGTTGCTGACTGACATATGCACACAGATGGATACACATGCAAAACACACACCTGGTTCACACTAAGTGGTCTATTCTAAGTGTGTGTAAAAACACATGATTCGATCTTGGCTCTGGGCAGGTGAGCTGTTTATACTGTATATGGCTGTCTGAGCTTTCACATAACACTCCTGCACACACAGAAGTCTATAAGGACAGCAGCTTCCATTCATGTAGAAACACCGACACTGACATCATAGTAAGGCCACATATACACATTAATAAGCTGATGGTGGTCAAATATTAAAGTATAGTTTTTTTCAGTTCATGCTTAAGCAACAGAGTTTAAAGCTTTATCTTAACTGTTCACCCCAATTACTAAAAACATTAGGGTGTCCCACTTGATTTGACCTGCCACTTTGCCAAACACTGAAAATAATGAATCTCTCTCACACTATTTCTGTCCTATCAAATCAAGGCAAAAGCCCCCAAAAATATCTTAAAAAGAAATTAATCTGTAGATTTGAATGCCATTGATTCATTTCCAGCTTCTTGCACACTAAAGTGAATTCATCCTAGCCACATAACCCTATCGCCAGATCAAAGTTTGTTGCTGTTTGTTCCTCAAAGGTGCACTGAGCAACTGTTCATGTTAGTGGCTCCCTGTGGCACCAAGAGGTCACAGTTTGGAAACTTCAATACCCAAAAATCCTGTGATGTAGCATTAGTAAAGGGAACACAGCAGGCTTTTATTTATCAAGTCTACTGGTCTGTGATAGGGCTGAGTCAACCAAAGAAAACCTTGGTTCGACTGAAATTCTACTGTCTCTTCTGCCAGTCCATTGGTTAATGAGGAATAACTATGTTTTTCTGTCCACCAAAGCGTATTTTCTTTAGGCCAGCATATTCTTGTTGATTCATTGCAATGGGAGCACCGCATATTTTCTCTACGCTGCGTGATGAGCCACTGAGCATTTACTCTCAATGGGCAATGCACGTTTGGTATTTTTTTCTGGTTGTCGAGAGCTGAAAAATATTCAGCTTTGGGTAAAATGCTGCAGCTGCTTGTTACTGTCCCTTTATATCCAACGCTCCAACCACAGTGGAGGACGGGCGGGACAAACACCACAGAGATCAACTGCTACACTTTTCTTGTACAAGTATTGAACCATTGGTGATTCAATCCCCCTCCAGTCTGCATATTGAATAATCCATGGTTACCGAATAGCAGGTAGCACCATGCATGGTAGCCTCAACCACCAGCGTGTGAATGTGTGTGAATGGGTGAATGTGACATGTAGTGTAGTTGGAAGACTAGAAAAGCATTATACAAGTGCAGTCCATTTACCATCTACCACAGGCAATTTGCTTTCACAGCACTCTAGTGATCCTAGAAGCGCCTGGCATTTTCAGCTTGGAAAAAACACTTGATTGGTCATACGACTTCATGACAGCAACACTAGGGATCGGACGGATCAGAGCATATCGACCAACCAGCCGACCACAGGGTATCTGCCCTAGTCTGTGATGATGCCTACCTAAGAATGCAAAAAGTCAAAAGATCTTATCTTACAAAAAAAATGCTGGATTTCATTCTCTAGTATGATACATCATGGCCTGTAGATGGAAATTGGACACCATAACTTTGTACTGTGTTGGTCTGAAGCAGGTGTAGCAGTGGTGTTTTATAATGAGTAAATTAGTAACCGCTGTTTGCTTTTGTGGGGTAATTTACTGCTGATTATTGATCATCACTTCTCTGTTGCTGTCAGCATTGCGTGGAGGTACAAACAGATTCACATGACCTGTATTCTCCTTATTTACGTGAGATACAGGAACAACACAATATGAGCTCTGACCTCTCCTGCCATGAACTGTCCAAACCCAGGTGGGAAGGTCAAGGTGGCAATGACCAGGGTTACCACAGCAGGGAAGACCAGCCGGCTGGAAGGGACAACAGAAAAATGCTTAATGAATGAAACAAACATTAGTAATCATCTCTAATAATCAAAATACTAAACAAAACATCTAAAGCACAAGCCTAAAAACTATAATCGACAAGTCTTCACTAAAAATTAAAGCAGAGAATACATATTCAAGCATTAAACAATATTAAATTTTGAGTATAATTTACACTCTATGTATGTGCACTGAATATTAACTGTATGAAGACTTCATACCATCCTTAAGGCTTTGAAATGACAACAACAATTAAAAATATCAACCCTATTGATGCACATAGACTCACTGTTTGGTCAGGAAGCGGGTCATGGCGTTGGGCCGTCTCATGAACAGCACAACCTGTCTGTTGAGATAGACGAAGAACGCCCCCAAGAACCCACAGGAGATCCTGCACAAACAAATAATACTCACATAAGCTAAGTTAAGGCATCTATTTACGTGTAACAACTGTGTTTTGTATGTTCTCTGTGTTTTAAATGCTACATTTGCATACAATTTGAATTTGAATTTAAAAATTTCCATCTTGTCCATTAGGAAGTTTGAACACACACCAGGTGTGCACACACACACACACACACAGAAGTGCGGCCATATATCTTTTTTTCTCAGTTTTATCTCACCCAATGATGGCGAATGCTGGCAGCTCCTGCAGGTCAAAAGGGAAATCCATGCGGAAGTTTGTCCTGAACAGAGCAGTGATGGTTACTGGAAGATGAAGAAAAGGCAAAGGGGTGAAGTTTAGAGAATTTCAAAAATATTATTTAGTCTGATGACGGATAAGTGATTGTCTTAAAGGGAACCTGTTATGCTCATTTCTCATTTTCAGGTTCACACTTGTAATTTGGGGTTCTCCTGGAACATGTTTACAGGCTGTTCAAACTAAAGGAAGTTTTTAAACTAATTTCTAAATTCTAATCAGTTCATCACTGGGTCCACATGAATGTATTCTGCAAAATTTGAAGAAATTCCTTTAAGGTGTTCGTAAAATACCTCATTCACAAGAATCAGACAAATGCAAGGTCACAGTGACCTTGATCTTTAACTACCAAAATTGAATCAGTTTGAATCAATTTCTGTTGAGTCCAAGTGAACATATGTGCCAAACTTGAAGAAATTCTCCCAAGGTGTTCTTGACGTTGGCAAAAATTAGACGGATAGAAGGTCACAGTGACCTTCGACCACCAAAATCTAATCAGTTCATAGTTAAGTCCAACAGAATGTTTGTGCCAAATTAAAAAAAAAACAAAAACAAAAAAAAAACACTTCTGTTCACAGGAATGAGACAAAAAAGGTCACAGTGTCCTTGACCTTTACCACCAAAATATAATCTGTTAATTCCAGCCATGGCTATCATCAGCACGGAGGCATAAAAACACTGTATACCTGTATTCACCGTCTGTCTGAGACACTGTGTTTTAAAGGTTTTTTGGGGAGTTTTTCCCTATCAGCTGTGAGGGTCCAAGAACAGAGGGATGTCGTATGCTGTAAAGCCCTCTGAGGCAAATTCTGATGTGTGATATTGGGATTTATGAATAAAATTGAATTAAATTGAATTGAATTGGAAAATTCACCAATATAAGCTTCTGAACCAAAACCTTTACAACCAGACATGTTCCAGCAGGAGTATGATCCAAAAGCAGGGTGGAATTACAATCAGCAACCAAGATTACAAGTTTCCCTGACGTTAGCATGTAGCTACATGTAGCAATTTAGGCTACATAATATAAACACTTTCAGTAGCATGCCTGAAGCAGATGACCATATAAAGAAATCTGTCACAAGCTGAAATCAGCTGGTCTCCAAAGTAGGAAAAAACCTTGGAAACAGAGTAGTGAAAACACACTGAAGCCTAAGGATTTATTTACAGGGACTACTTTTACATAAGTTTACCTCATTGTTTAATACTGTAGCCAGATTTAATATCAACATCCAACACTGTAACATAATACGTTAGAATTTAAGGAAAAGCATAATTGGTCCCACTTAAATTTACAGGTTCAGCTGTTGCAGGTTGATATAGGACCAGGTAAAAATGGTCATACATCATTTCTGTATTTTTCAGTACTGATAAAAACCCCTTTGCAAGGTCATGTCAAAGTGTTAACAGCTAATTGAATTAAGATATTTCTTTGTCTGGAACTCACTTGACTATCTTATCTTCTGTCTGTTATAAGACACTTTGTAACCTCAGACATTAAATATCCTGCTGCTCTCAGGGGAGGAGTACACCATCTAGTGGTAAATGCACAATGTGCCCACAGTGCACACATTAAGACAGAGTAACTGAAAATATATGAGTTTACTTGCTGTTGATTATTGAAGTAAGGGCACCCTCTAGTGCATGTTTGATAAGGAAAAAGTAACATAATATTGTCCAGTATCTAAAACATTAAAACAACATTTGAATGCCTGTAAATTGATGTATCATCAATTATTTTTCTCCCATTCGTACCTGCGTCTTTGTTGAACACGGATAACACTCTGAATATGAAGGCACTAAATGTAGCAGCAAAGTATCCTCTCCAGTAGTTCCTCACAGCAAAGTATGTGGATGTTACCTCTATACTGAAGAGCACACCTGGTGGAGAAAGAAAGAAGGCGAAGAACCAACAATCAAACAGGGAGGAACTGAAAACAATTCACTAATCCACAGCTAAAGAAATGTACAAGCAAACAACCTGATCTTTGCTGTAAAATGGCAAATGTGTGTACAAATTTCTAATTCAGGGATATTTTTTAATAAACAGAGCCCAAAATGTCAGTTTCCTGTTTGCATAGATGTCAAATAAGTCTAAATTTCCTACATGTGAATGTGTGAATGGGACAAAGAACATAAAAGAGAAAAGGCTCTGTACCTCCAAGTGGAGTACCAAAGCAGCAGCCAACCCCAACAGCACAGCCCACTGTCAAGATGTCTGTATAGCAGTATGGATTCTACTGATCCAGAGAGGAGGAAGAGGATTAAAGATCGAGACAACATATGAGACACACATTATTTATAATCACACCTGCAGAATTGCATGTAAATGAAAATGTTTCCTGACATCAGCTTACCTGATAAGCTCCTGAAAAGAAGGACATGAACCTGCTGAGAACTGCAGCACAGATACTGGCGATGTGAACAAACGGGCCCTGGGTGAAGGAGATAAGCAAAACAGGAGAATTAAGCCAAATTATGTTACATAGCAGTAGGTACAGTACAAGACCAAAAACAACACCGAACAACACCACAGATGGTTGGGTTACGTAAAAATTGGAAAGGGAAAGAACGTTGGTTAATATGTGTAAAAATCGGGGTGACCCACCTCTTTGCCTACAGGCATCCCGCTGCCCAGAGCTGCAGTCAGACCAATGACTTTAGCAATAAAGGCCTTGAGAGTTAAATATTCCTTTAGCACCACACCTCTCAGGATGGTCTTCAGCTCTGGGATACCAGAACCTGAGACAAAGGGTGGAACAGATGTTGTTTAGGAGGGAAGGGGAGACAAAGAGTTAATATTATGCAAAAAAAAAAAAAAAGTTATCAAACTGGTGTGGAGCTTGTATACCACAGTAGTACCATATTATTACATGGAAAATTCCAGTTAATGCTGAAGCAAATGGACAGTAGCAACCATGTTCCATAACCTTAAAACTCTAGCTTAGAGAAGCTACACCTTCCTAGTTTGTCGTTTATTTTTGCACAGAATACTGTCGTTTCCAAACAGTAATCATCTCATGTGGAAAAAAATAGGAGATATTGTGAAAAAATTCTATTCTTTTGAAGATGAGATAGGCAAACCGGCAACCTGGAGGGCTTAGACTTCCCAGGGTTTATTCCAATCAAATGTCACTGTCAGATCTCATTCCTGATGTCTCAGTATTTATTCATTCAGTATTCTGCCTGATTTTCCATATCACTAACTGTCTTTTCATTTCAGATCCAGCCACATGTAATAATATGTCCTTTATTACTTCTTTCCTGCCAGTTCCACCACTTTATCTGCTCTTTACCCCAGCTCCGTTGCCAGATTGTCTGTTTCATAAAGTAAGGATTACAGCATTGGTGTTTGTTAGCTGAGATGACTATAGACCCTTTTACTCTTAGTAAACAGTATGACATTATTTTGGTGGGCGTGGCTTAGCTGGAGGCAAAAACCCTTTTTCACAGGCATTAGGTAGCGCTAGCTAGCAAGTTCTATGGGCTTGTTTTGGACAGTGGAGGAAGATGATACGAGTGGTGCATTCAGAAAAACTCATTCTGAGTGACGGAGCGCACTCTGGCACAAACTGGACCGTTTGTAAATTTGGAGCTCTGTCGGAGTGTACCCTTCCGTTATCCAGAGAACTCCCTCAGTGGCAGAGCGCTTTCTGGGCCCTCTGTGTGAGGAAACAGAGCAGCAGAGTGCCAAGTAGAGTGAATGTGTGATTAACATAACCTTTTGTTGATGTATAGAAATATAACACTCCATTTCTTTGACCAACAGAGGTTTCATTTTAGTGTCAGACTGAATTTATGAATGCACCATGTCAGGTCACTCACTTCCAGGACCATGAGTGTTATTTGAATAATTAGACACTGACAAACAGGACCAGATTTCCCAACCCGTATGCTCTCACTCAGTGGATGGATTATTTGACAGGATCGCTGAAGGTGGGATAGCCGGCTTTGTGGTTGATTACTATGCCAATCTTACAAAGGAGAGCAACACATGAACAGTTTCCTCCAGTTTGTTTTGCTATAGAAGCTAACATTAGCTAATGTGCTACAAAGTTAGCTTTATGGAGAAATCCAATACTCCTCTTAAAGCGACACTTACCTTTCTGGAAATTTTACGCTTTTCTTTGTTTAGGTTAAAATGCTATTAATAAGCTGATGGCACACTAAAATGTAAGTGAAGTCCACCAGAGATACAAACTCATAATTATACCATTCTCATATGGTTCTAAGAAAACTCCGATCAATCATTGCATTCGGACCGAATTCAGACGCATACGGACAGGTATTTTTAGTTTGCCTCTAAAGTCACATAGGCTATAACATTATATAAGACAACACAGCATCATGTTGCTAATGGCTGGTTAGTTTACTGTAGCGTAGCCTCTGAAACATTAACGTTATCTTCCTTGTGCGTTTCCACTTACTAGTAACATTAAAGCTACAATCTAACGTTAGCACTGTAACCTTATTCTAAAACTCATCAGTCATCACTGACTCCGATTGAGTTTTAAAACTCTGGGGTTGCGTTTGACTGGTTGTAACGTTACACTCGCTCTCCTCTTCTGTGTATCTAACGTTACCTTGTCAACGCCTACGTCTATCATAGATGTAATGAGGACGTAATGGAGGAGGGGGGAGTAGGCCTTTGGAGGGAGGTGGAGTTGCAGGAGGAGAGGGATGGGACTTTGGAGGGAGGCGGGAGTTGAGGATGTTCATATTTTTTCTAAGTGCTGTGTAAAATGCAAGAAAGGTAAGAGTAGCCTTAATACCCTTAACCCTTAATACACATAACATTATCCATCCCTACAACAGTACCTTTTCCCTAACCTAATATGAAGGATGCTCTGCACATGCAGCATTTTTGATGATCGCCTCTGTCCAGTCCTTTCGACTTATCACATTTAACCATAGTTGTTTTGGTTGACAGGCAACGGCAGCGGGTATGCGATAAAATTTAAGCTTTGAGCCATGACTCCTTCTATTCTGGAACCCAATAACACAACAAGACGACATTTTAAGACTCCTGTGTAGCCTACAGCCCTGTGGTGGAGGGTCATGTTTTGCCTCCAGCTAATGAAATTATATCATTGTGACATCGGCCCTTAGAGGGTTTATTCCACTATGTGATGTTGCTGACAGAATATTAAGTATACACCAACTAATATGCACAAGATCTAAAAGTTGTCATGACATCAAAATAGATACTTTAGTTAGCATATGTCTTGAACTGATTGTCACCTATACGCTGGTATCTGGCCTAATAATGACATAAATGTTGTTTTGTAGGTATTCTTGAGGATATTTTAGAGTTTCCCATTTTCCTGCACTCGGGTGCGCATACTAATTTTGCTTCCAATGAAAGGCTGTCTCTAATTATTCCCATGACTCTTAATTCTGCTAAATACTGACTGGCATACAGGACCTGCAAGCTAGTTAGCAGTTATGGGGCAGTCATGGAGCCATGCATACAGCGGTTACTGCTTATACCACTGTCTGAACCCAGATCTCCCCTAGTAATATGGTTAGCTCTGTTGCCATTCATTGTTAGCATTGTTTGCGCTGTCAGCACTGTCAGTGCTGCTAGTCACTACACATAAATACGCAAAAACAAATTGCACTCTGCTAGTCATGTCACGGGCACTTTTAAGTAATAATTCACAACCAGAAACAGATGAGCGCAGAGAAGCATGAGAACACAGCCATGAGGAGGAAAGGGGTACAGACCGATAGCTTGAGGAGCAACCAGGTGACAGAAGAGGGAGGAGAACAGGATGAAGATCAGGGGATATGAAACCCAAGCCAGGTACTGCAGGGGGATGTTTCCCCTCAGCTCCCCATAAATCCATTTATAGGCTGAAGGAGGGAGAGAGGGAGAAAGAAAGAGGTTGTGGAGGTGTAAGAAACAGGAAAAAAGCAAAAGAACAATGGACTGAAAGGAAGAAAGAAGGATGATTAGCAGGAATGAAGGAGTAAGTAAAGAGAAAGGGGTTAACATAGAAGAGCAAGAGAGAGAATTGAAGACAGAAGTAGGAGACAGAAGGTAAAGTTGCTCTATATAGTAAAGTCTTGCTATTGACCTCTCATAAAGGAAAATTCAGGGAGAAGAAAGATGCAAATATGTGATCTACTGTGCACTGGCTTTCCCTTTAACGGCTTCTGCAATGCATTATGGGTTCTGTAGTCCTACCTTGCAGGCTCTTTGCACTTGCGTAGTCCATTGTCCAGCTGACCAGTGCCATTGTGATGCCCAGCAGAACAAGGAAGATCCAGTCCTCTCCTAACCTGGTCACAAGGAATCGCTGCACCCGTGCTATGCAGTCTGGAAAAAAACAAACACACCGAAAGCTCACAAAAAAGGAGTACTGAGAACTTAATCTATCTATTTACTTTGTAACCTTTCTGTGGAGGCTCACCTCTACATTTGGAGTAGGAGCGTTTCTTCTTTATAGAGGACGTGAGGTCAGGTTCAGCTGTTTGCTCCCCCGCCTCCATGTTGGACTGACGCCTGCTCCTATGTCTGCTGTGGTAGCTGTGCTGATGCCTACTGTGGTATCCATTTTGACCATGGCTGCACCGGCCGTGTCGTGTCTTGCCGTGGCTGTGGTGATGGTTGCCATGTTTCTTGATCTGTCTCTCTGTCAGCAGGCGTGTGGCCTCCCGTCTGCCAGAGCCTCCTTGGTTCTCTTGGTACTCCCCATAGAGCTGTCAATCAATTGGAAAAACAGCCCATTAATCAGTTAGTAAGAATGGTCTGATTAATCAGCCACTGATCACTGTCAGTCAACATTCATTCTAAATAATCAGTTAGAGGCCAATCAAACGAGCCAATCAGATGACACAAAACAAGTGGGACAATTTATCTCTCGCCGATAAAATGTTTCATTGACTAAAACTAGACTAAAATAGTTACAGTTTTCATTGACTAAGATAAGACTGAAATGCCACACATTCTCATCCCAACTCGTCAAACACTGTCACTTTGTCATTGGACCGCCATGTCTGAATATGACACGCTAGGTCCCCTCCTACATCTGTTTTAGACGCTCAGGGACTAAATTCACGCTTAATACATGCATTGTGTCTTTTCAAAATACTGTTAGGAAATGTGCAGTTTCTGCTTGTTACATGCCTACAGTCTTTTTCAAAATAAACTTACAATGTAGGGAAAACACTTCATTTTTAGGTTTATTTTCTTAAGTTTAGGCAACAAAAACACATGATTAGGTTTAGGAAAAAAAAACATGGTTTGGCTTAAAATTCACACAGGAGATGAACAGCGTACTCTTGGTTAAGAGCTTGTCTGAACAATCCACCACCCATCCCACCTTCACTTCAGGGACTTTCTCACTCTTTATATTATGGTAGTTGCCAATGACATTACAAAGTGCCGCTGCTCTGTGCTTATAATAAAGCAATGAAGAGTGCCTTTGCATGTCTGTGTCCAACGCCCACGTCCACTAACAAAGGGGAAGTATTTGACGAGTTGGGTTGTTGTCTGCTGCCTCTAAAACTGAGAAGCCTGGTATGTATTATACCACCGCAAAGGTGCGTCTTTTCGACGCTGTCTGGGAGGTTGGAAAGGCTGGAAATGCCCAGACTTTTAATCAACTTAAACTTATTTTTGTATGTTATGTATATGCTTAATACTATATCATCATGGTCTTGAGTCACATAAATGATATGAAAAAAAAAACAAGATGAGGTTGATTAAATATGGTAAAAACTAATGAGGACATTTGACACAAAACTAAAACAAATTTTTTAAAGGGCTCCGAAATCAACTTTAGTTGCCTCATTTATTAATTCTAACTTGGTGTGCTGTGCACATAGCTTTAATTCAAATGTTTATTTATATGAAATTGTATTTATTTCATCCACAGGCAAATTACATTTGTTAATATAGTGCAAAATTCAGTATATCGGTCCAGTCTGAGCCTGGTCTCACTCAGAAGTCATCGAAGTCCATCGCTTGGGCAGGGACTTGCGGCATCAGACTCCTACGAAAAAACCTGCCCTTTAACGTTTGCATGATACGCAGCCAGTCACCGTCATAATTCAACAGCGCCCAGCAGCCACCGGGGAAATGTGGTGGGAGAGGGACGAAAGTTAAGGCAGCGAATGTCTGAGTGGGGCGGGCTGGGGGTTGTGGTGGATGGGTCAAACAAACATCGACTTTCACCCAACAGAGCAGTGTTCGCATCCTGTAAGATCCTTAAGCCAAACCCTGTTCTTTTTTTCCTAAACCTAACCACTTGTTTTTGTTGCCTAAACCTTACCACGTGTGTTTGTTGTTGAAGTAAAAAAAAAAGGGTTCGTGGTGGACATAGTACATTTATTTTGAAAGAGTCTGTATGGAAATGTTAAATTTCCTGTGAAAACACAAGTTTCTTGAAAGAAGACAATGCATGTAACAGGCAGAACTTGACATGGTGTCCCAGAACGTCAACAACCAACGCACCCAGGGTACCTTGCACGTCGAGGTCGGAGTAAGAATGTGTTGACAGCCCGGCTCTTGATATCAAACTGGTTTGAAAAATCTAACAACAGCCCAACCCTATCAGCCAATACTGCTTGCAGCGATTGGTGATCAGCCCCAAAAATCCTTATCGGTGCATCCTTATCAATAAGTAGAGAACAGAGCAAATATGACAGTTATCCAGCATTCATTTATTAGACATAAACATGTACAGGTAGTTCCTGAGAAAGTGAGAATGTAGAGAGTGATAGTACTCTCCTTCTGGCACCCTAGCAGAGAAGAGTCCACTTTATAAATAGACAGCACCACGTGTTGACCCAAACAGCTCTAATGGAAACGGAAACATGGGCTCTGCCTCTCAATTTATCACCTCTGGACAGACTCCATGAAAATTGCCTGGGACATCTGGGGAAGAGATCAATTCTCATCTCTCTCTCTCTCTCTCTCCCTCCCTCACTAGCACAAATATCTTCTTCAGTAGGATATACCCTCCTGCATTTGTTTCATCCTTTCCTCACATACTTCCAACTAGTGCTGGGTGATATGGAGAAAATCAAATAACAATATTTTTGACCAAATGCCTCAATATGGATATTGTGCTGACATTGTAGAAGTGACAATCGGGGCTTTCATAAACATTAGAACAGCTAGAGGAGGCTGGTAAGAACATCACTTTACTGTAATGCAGCTTTTAATACCAGGAAAAGACAACACTAAAAATATTACAATAATATAACAATTAAACTTTCTGCACCGCTGCTAATGTTACACCATGTATAACCTTGGGTTGTTATTCAGCCGTTCCTTTAACTTCTATAAATGAGTGAGAAAATGATGATAATGTAAAAATAAATTTGCTAGTTGCGAGTGATTCTCCATATAAGGGAAATGGCTGCTGTGATATACAGTGATTAAATTAATGTATGTGTCACAGCAATGCTTTTGACTTGGAGGGACAGTATTTTTGGAATCAGGCATCTGACAAATAGAGTCTATTGTTATTACTGTCGTTGCTGTTAATATCATGACAGCAGTGATGTGGAAATTAGACAGATTTTACTATTACTATTTTTTAAATAAATTATTTAAATATTAATTATTTATATATTGATTTTTATTTAGGTAATTTAATTGTAAAAGTAATCAAGTAATAAAAATAAAATCATCAGAATAATTGATAAATTTAGTCTTTAGATTAATCGACTAATCAAAAAAATCATTGTTAGATTAACTGAGAAAAAAATGAACGATAGGTGCAGTCTTACTGAATTATAATTTCCAAAAACAATATCTAGCCTCATATCATGTCGATATAAAAGATAAATTGCTTAACCCTACTTCCAATATAAGCCACACTATACTATATAGTGCATGCTTTCTTTTTTCCCCCTCTATTTTTTAAATAACGTAATTACAATAAGCCCTTTGTGTAGTTTCCTCTTATTAAAAAAACCCCTCTAAATAGTCTTTTCTCATCTTTGAAACATATTAGGTATGGAATTTTGCAGGTATGAAAAAGCAAAAAAGGAAACGTGCACGTAAACTTTAAAAAGTGTGAGTGTTGGGTATTCTACGTGACATTTAATCTTACTGTTGTAAAATAACACCTGGGACCTGCCCACTGGTAACTGGCAATCAAATCTGAGACAGCATTGCTACTGGTAACTGCTGTGCAGGACTTATTGGGGTATTTTGAAATGACATTTAATAAAACTCATATGTCAAATGTGAGGTGTAATTTTTTTGACAGTACTGTGTGCCGGTAGTTAAAGAGAAAAACGCACTAGTTCATGTTAGTACGCCTCCAGGAACCAGTCAGGTTTCTCTTACAGTTTGTGAAAACATGGATGCTTCACACACATCTTCCCCCCTGACAGCACAGAGGATCTACACAATCAGCACAGTTTCAAGGTGGACACTCAGGATTAGAGTCACCAGTTCAGTATCTGACCAAATGTCTCCTCTTCTGTTCCTGAGATATGACGCTGAGAACATTATGGTGTCACAGTGAAGTTGACCTTTGACCTTTGGGATATATAATGTCATCACATCATCTTTTTATCCTTTAGACATGCAACGTGTGAAATCTAGTCATAATTAGTATAGGAATTCTTCAGTTATGGCCAAAGACATATTTTTTATGAGGTCACAGTGACCTTGACCTTTGACCTTAAACCACCAAATTCTAAGCAGTTTATTTTTGAGTCCAAGTAGACATTTGTGCCTAATTTGAGGAAATTCCTCAGGATGAATAGCTGGACAGACAACACAAAAACATAATGCCTGCGTCCACAGCTATTGCCAGTGCAGAGGCATAAAAATATATATACACTAATCAAGCTTCCAAGTATAGGATATCAAGCTATTTGACTCTTTTTTCTTTTCCTTCTTCTGTCTTTAAACCATTTCACTGTGAAAATTGGTGCAGTCTTTATATAATGAAATTTCACGTCACTTACATGAAGTGCAAAATTCCGATGACAACTACAGTAACAACAAACAATACTATGTATGGACACTAGAGGTCAGTAAAGTCACAAAGGTTCAAATTTGTGAGTAGACTTTAAACTTAATCTTGGTTAATTTTGTACCCATATATGTATAATTAAAAAAAAATGCCTGCTGTACTTTTGTCAGCTCAGAACTTGAAGTCATTTCCCTTATTTCCACTGCTCAGACACCCAAATAATCACAATTTATTGCTGTCCACTACTGAAGCACTGTTTAATACTCCAGCACTATAACACAAATAATACACCAGGGCTCATTTATATTCTTGGTACATCGACAGCAGACAAAACAACTCCAGGAATACAACTGACATGATAAGTTGTGTCTGGTGCTGACACTTTGGACGTCCGTGCAGTAACCTTTCAACAGCTCCTAATTTAGCAAGTTCATGGACAGACAGATTGATGGACAAACAGACAGATGGATTAACACACACACACACACACACATGCACACACACACATATAAGGTACTAACAATGCTGTGTGAGCAGAGACACCGGTCAACGCACAGTGAAACCTGAGCAGCATAATACACAATGTGCTGTAACTGAATGCCAACACACGACACAGACTCAAACAATAGACGCTCATGTGTTCAATGTTAAATGTAACACAGCATGTTGTTTCTAACCCAAGAATACTGTTGCTTAGCAGACAAAGTATTTTTAAAATGAAATGCACAAGAAATAAAGATGTTCCATGCATTTTGAGAA